AATTAGTCAATATTAGCTTTATGGATGTAGTGACTGCATATTTGTATGGTTCACTTTATAGTGACATTTATATTTATGAAAGTCACTTAAAGACTTAATGTGCAAGAAACAAATGATACATGTCCGAGAACCATGTTTTCAATTAAATTACAACGATTATTATATGGATTGAAACAATTTGGACGTATGTGGTATAATCGCCTTAGCGAATATTTGTTAAGGAATCCTATAAAAATGACGATATATGTCCATGTATTTTCATAAAGAATACAAATATTGGATTTGCAATTGGGCCAATTTATGTTAATAATTTAAATGTAATTGGAACTTTTGAAAAGTTCAACAAAATTGTAAATTATTTGAAAAATGAATTTGAAATGAAAGATTTGAGAAAAATCAAATTCTGTCTCGAGTTGCAGGTTGAGCATTTTTCAGAAGGATTGCTTGTTCTTCAATCTACATATCAGAAAAAAATTCTTAAAATACTTTTATATGGATAGTGCATATCAATTAGCATCACATATGTTTGTTCGATCACATAATGTGAAAAGTGATTATTTTCGTCCTCTTGAAAATAAAAAAAAAGGTTATTGATCCCAAAATACCATATCTTAGTACAATTGGAGTATTAACTTATTTTGCAAATTGTACTTATCGACATAACTTTTTCTGTAAATCTCCTTGCAAGATATAGATCACACCAATACAAAGATCTTGGAATGGTGTTAAACATATTTTTCGTTACCTAAAGGGTACTATTGATTTGAAATTATTCTATTCTCAAAAGTCGGGATCTGCTTTAGCGGGATTTGCAGATGCAGATTATCTCTGACACACATAAAGTTAAATCACAAACAGAATGCGTGTTTACACGTGGAGGAACGGCTATATCATTAAGATCTATGATGCAATCATTGATAACATCCTCAAATTATTCTGAAATTATTGCAATTCATGAAGCATGCCGAGAATGTGTATGGTTGAGGAACATGACCCATCATATCCAAGTATTATGCAAATTAATTTCAACAAAAAATAGTCTAACAATTTTGTATGAAAACAATACTGCTTGTATTTCACAGCTCAAAGAAGGTTATATCAAATGTGACATGACGAAACATATTTTTTCAAAATTCTTTCATACACATGAGTTTCAAAAGAATGACGACATTGATGTTTAACAAATTCACTCAAGTAACAATGTGGCTGATTATTTACAAAAGTACTTCCAACATCTACATTCAAGAAATTGGTTCACAAGAGTGGAATGCATTGACTCAAAGATTTTCAGTGATCAATATCAAGTTTTATTTCACCGAGTTTTCCTAACAATGTATTATTGAGGCATCATTTTTCTTTAATATTCCAAAATAACTGTACTATTTTTCTTTCGTTTGATTTTTTTGTCCATTGAATTTTTATCAAATAAGGTTTTAACAATGGAAGATATTTTATAACGTATCATTCAAGGGGGAGAATTATAAATGTTAAATTTATTAGTGAATGACAAGTGTACCATTGCAACCCTAGAAATTATTACCATTGTATCCATAATCCTGCCATATAAATATAAGATTTTTGTTCTCATTATAATATACACAAATCTATTAACTTTTATTGTATCTTCTCATTTCCTCTCTTTGCACGACAATTAGTATATTATTCTGAAATTTTAATAGTGTATAATGTTTGAATGCACCAACATATATTATTTTTTAGCTAAATTTTACTTTAACTGTAAAACGTAAATTTTTACGTCTTGTTTGAATTTACAAATTTATAAATATGAAATGTTATTGATAACTTAAATTATTGATATTTAAATTATGCGTACATACTATATAATTAATTTAGAAAAAGCTTCAAATCATATATTACCACATTCTTCGATAAATACTAAGTTGAAATTTCTCCAGTATGCATTTTCAAAATTGCATATGCACAAAGTATGTAAGTATGAACTTATTATTAAAGGAATCGTGACGATTTGTCTCTTATATTGTCTCAATAGTTTATGGCCGAAATTATAAAACCAAAAAGCGACCAAATGTGTACAAGACCATATAATAAAATAGGAAATTTAAAAGTACATGCTGCTCATAAAAGCAATTAACATACGACTTTAGGCACGACCAAACATCTTAACATTGGATTTGTTACCTCGTATTCTTTCAAACAAATTTTCTACGTTCCAAGAAGTATTTGGAACATGCAAATCGTTAATGAAATTCATAAAATTTAAATAAAACATTGTATTAACACAACAATTAAAAAAACCATGACTGGTTGTATATATGAAAATGCCAAGACAAATTGTGACATTAAAGCCCACCTCCTTAATTCATTAGTAGATTTAGCCATCACCTCAAGCATCGTCTGCTAGATCCTGCATCAATGTACATCTGAGTTAAATTCATTTCAATTCAAGGAAAACTGATGGAATCAGTACTCGGTAGTATCGAATACATACATTTAACTAAGACTATCTTCATTTTTAACATATACAATCCCGTATCGGGACAAAAGAACAGAGTTGCATTAGTCGATAACCAATGTAAAACTTTGTAATATCTTATGACATGAATCATTGTAAAATACAATTTAAGAACTCGAACTTAAATTTATTGAGAATAGGTTTTAGGATTACATTGCACTTTGTATCAAATAAAAATATTGTCCGCAATCAAATGAATATTTCATAGACTTTTACAAAAAAATTGGATTTACATTAAGCCCTTGTTTGGCCACAATTTTCTAAAACTCATTATTTCTTAAAAACTTATTTTCAACCATATATTTTATAGAACCACAACTTCTATAAACTTTCAACCACACATTTCATCAACTTTTTTCAGATCTACTATAAGTTTGATTTTTATCTAAATCAAACAAGGGCTAAGTTTCTAAGTACTTTACCTCCATATCTGCGGTCCAAAGAGTGAGATTGTCCCTTAGAAGTTGCATGATAAGAGTGCTGTCCTTGTACGATTCCTCGCCCAAAGTGTCCAGCTCGGCAATAGCTTCCTCAAAAGCCTGCACATATAAAATCAAGTTTAAAATATTGGTCGATCTTTATGTTGGCACCATCACTAAGTATTGTTTAGAAATAGATGCAAACATATTCGTGCGGTAAAATAAGTGGTTTAAGGTGTAGTTAATCTTCAAAATGATATAAAAGTAGTCTTATCTAATAATTCAAGCTTTTGGATCCATTATTTCAGCATGGTATCAGGGTATGCAAAAAGTTCTAATTTCAAATCTCGCCGCCGCCTATTTAAATGAATTGTCCACATATCACACTTTCACTGGAAAAAAATAAATTCTACACACACGCGAGGGCTCGTGTTGAAGAGAGTATTTAAATAATAAACACTTGGTCTTAACTTATGGCTTACGCTTTCAAATCAATTAGTTTAGCAGTTAATACATTATGCATCTTTTGTGCTAGTCGATATCCATAGAATAGGTGTAATAATATGGATGTTAATGAATTGAATCCATTCTCTAAATTTCATATGATATACAAATTAACACCATCCTGATTTTCTTATCTGGTCAATAAATTATGATGCAACTTACTTCAAGAATTTCTTTAATATAAGTTGAATCACTACATGGATTTTGGGTTTTGCAGACAGCTAGAAAAGGTCATGGAAGCCTTCCCATGTTGGCTCGTAACCAGCACAGTATCGAGCCTCATGGTAAGTTTCCGTGAATGATTTGTCAGTCGTGGAAAGTTCTAATATATAAAAACACTTCAAACTACCCACATAAATAGTTGACACTTTAACAGGTCCTTCATGGAAAGACATTTAATAAAATATTTCCATTTCCACAAAGATTATTTTTGTGGGAAACATTAAGAAACTGGTGTGGTTACGGCATGTTGGTCACTTTTACAAAGTATTTTTTCTTAAATCTTCTAAGTTATCTATAATTTCCATAGTCAAATTTGGTGTCATGTTGAATCTAGATGGACCGGATCCCTGCAGTTACGACCTTTCTTTTGTAGTCTTTGACAATTTCAGACCTAAAACTGAAGTAATTATCTACAAAACTGAAAAGGGGAACAAAACGGGAAAACAGAGATTGCTCCAATGTATAAACCATTCAAAAAGGAAAAGGATAAAATTATTCAACTCAGTCAAATGTGAGGTCGACTAACCTGTTTAGCCATGTTGCACGCCTTCTCTGATGCATTTAGAATTTCAAAGTAGAAAACAGAGAAGTTCAACGCCAAACCCAATCGTATAGGATGCGTAGGAGAAAGATCAACAATTGCAATATCCTGTTAAGAAATCAATACCCAAGAAGAATAGTCAATCACAATTCTTACATTAAATTTCCAAGTAAAACGTTTAGACATGAACCTGAGCAGCTTTTCCATTTATCTACAAGCATTTTACCACTCAACGAAAATGTGTTAAGAGCTTTAAGTTTTTGCTTGTAAACCTTGCAGAAGTGCAAAAATCTTTTCAAATAGAAAAAAGAATAGACACATACCAAAAATTAGCTACTAAACCAAAATATATTCTATATTTTCTTGGTATAAAAGGTAATGGTTGTAGAGGTTCAAGTCTAACCGCCATCTATTAATGAAAATTTTGCACGCGGCAGGCCTGTGACAGAAAAGATAAACCCCATATGCACGTGAGGAGGCGAGTTGACAACATTTATTTAAATATGTCTCTCTCTAACCACTTAATTACTAACAACATAACTCGAGCTTCTAAACAAGGTGATTCATTTCATAAGTGATTTGACAAATAAATCTCCAACCTAACACATAATCTTCAAGTCCTACAATCTCTCCAAATTATGCCCCAATATCTCAACCCTCAATCCCAAAAATCCTTACATCTTTTTATTTCTATCAAAAATAACACAAACAAGGCATGAAAACTAGAAATATAACAACTCTTAAATTTGTCTCAAAGCATATTAAGCAATACACACAAATAAATATATGTGTATATTAACAATTGGGCTCGTTTGAACACACCAATCTTAGAATCTATATGCTCGTTGAGTCTTAGTCGGAAATTATTTGTTCGAGAATAATGGCTCTAATACAATATCAAGATTTGGAGAAGCTTAAGTCCTTATACGGTATGTACATGTATAAAGAGAGATATACCTGAGCGGCTTTGTAAGCGACCATAGTCTCCTCAGCAGCCTGCTTACGATCATCCCCAACCTTAAACTCCGCTAAGTACCTGTAATAATCTCCCTTCATTTTAAGGTAAAAAACCTTGGACTCACTAGAAGAAGCCGAGGGAATCAAAAAATCATTCAGATTTTTCAAAATCCCGGCGCAGCTATCAGACAGCTCGCTCTCGACCTTAGATCTGTAATCCTTAACGAGTGGCACGTGGTCGTCGTTCTTGTGGCTTTCCTCTTTCTGCTCAATCGATGATACTATGCGCCAGGCGGCGCGGAGCGAGCCGATGACGTTCTTGTAGGCCACAGAGAGGAGGTTGCGCTCCTCCACCGTGAGCTCCGCGCCGGCGGAGGTGACCACCAGCTTGTTCATGAACTGGACCATCTCCTCGTAGCGCTCGCCTTGCTCGGCTAGCTTAGCCATGTACAGGTATTGTTCGCGGGTCAGAGCCATCGGAGGAGTCGAAAAATTGGACAGTAGAGAGAGATTTGAAGTTTTTGAGGTTGTAAGAATAAATAGTTGAGGTTTCAGATTTGGATTATTTATCTAAGGGCAATTTTTTTCAAAAACAAAAATATTTTCTATTCAATCTAAAATGAAAAAACTCTAGCTTCCTGCTGGTGAATTGCAGCATGTAATAATAATTGAATACGGGTTTTGGAATGAATCCACCTTCACATAATTGCGATTTTGATCCCGTCCCTCAAAAATTTTCGGGACCAATTTGCTATCTGATAGAAGATTGAAGATAATAATTCGATGATAAAATGCGAGAACACAATTTCGACAATAAGTAAAGATTAAAAATCTTTATTGTTATTAATAAGTAGATTGTAGTGCAATATAGCCACTCATTTTGAAGTGAATCGTTTATTTTAAAGTTATTTTTACAAGTTTTAATTCTTTACATGGGACTGGCTTCTGATTTTTGTAGTCGAACTAGTTGATCGTTCCTATAACAATAGTAGTTAACGTGGATGCATACACAAGATTATGTCCCTATTTGACCAAAAAAAATAGATTTTAAGTTGATGGATTTCATAAAATGTGTGATTTAAAAATAGATAAGAATCATTGATCCAATAAAATATATGATTAAAAATGAGATTTTGATGAACTTATAATCCCAAAAAACTTTGTCAAATCATCGTGGACAAATAGGCATGTAGGTTTTGAAGTATTGTAATTATTGGCCAATACATTGAACCCTGAGAATGTAGTTTGATTTTTAAGCAAAACACCTCAGAATCACTGTCGTGCGGTGTATTAAATAAAAAATATTAATTGGAATAAAAAATAGGCTACGTGATGTGTGCATGGAGATTTTGTTAACAGATCCGAAGGCGGATAGACGAAGAGGCAAGACATGTCTCAAGTGCCACCTTCATAGCCTGTGTTTGGTATACATTTTACAAGAAATAAGAAGAAAAATTTTGACCGTTGGACCTGCAGGCGGGATCCACGCGTGAGAGCACAAGTCAAAAATGGTGGCTAGAATAGTAAAAAAATGGTCGAATTTTTTATTATTTTGGCCAATTAATGTATATCTAACACAGGCTTAAAGCACATTGCTCCTATATGAAAATTATGATTTTTGTTACTATTAATATATTTATTGAAATATATAATATTGTTAAGTATGAAGTGAAGTGAGAACGGTCGAGGTCGGGTTTATTGCCTCAAAATTTTGGAATTTTGATTTTTTTTCCCTGAGTTTGCTTCCAAAATATAATTTTTTATTCCTTCCCCTTTAATTAATTTCTCATTCCTTCTCAATATCTAGTGATAGTTCAGTCTTATCAAAATCTAATGTTCGTCATTGCTCAACTAGTCAATGTCGGCTACAGTCACAAATATCCGTTCTCTTTGTGTTTCAGTTTTGTGTTTTGTGTTTTTACATTCATTTTGTGTTTTGAGTGTCTGTTTTGAAATTTCTGAAAATGCGTTCTTTTTGCCATTTTGAAAAACTGTTTTTGAAAACATAAAAATGGAAAACGCGTTTACTTTGAAATTTTGAGAATTTTTTAAATAATAT